TTTTCCAGTCCTCTCCTCTGATCCGCTTTATCCGTCTTTTTCCTCTGTCTCACTGGCTTTCATTCTGCAAAGCAGCCACACACTCTGACACACACAGACAGCTATCACACACAAACACACACACACACACACAACACACAAACACACACACACACACAGAGACTTTGGCATCTTTCACTGTTCTTCGGCCTTTGGAACGTTGTCACAGTGGATATTCACAGGCTCTTTACAAACCCACACGATTCAGTTAAACAACATGTCTYTGCGGTCCAATCAAAGCAACAGTTCACAACTTTCACAGCTTCTGCAGCAACCAAGGGCATGAAAGAAAGGATGTATTAAAGAAGTCATGGAGAAAAGAAGAAGTAAACTTTGCAGAGACTGAGAGACAATTCAAAGTTAACCGAACACGTTGCATAACACTCACCCTGGATTCATCTGGACAGCTGTGACACATTTGATCTTTAAATGCTACACAAATAGATGCAAACATTGCTGCGCATTTATGAAGAACTTTAGGGGCTGCCAGGTGCTAAACACTTCTCACACAAGTTCTCCTCCAGCCCCACTTGTACTGACAAACCTTACATCTCTGAGAGCCACACGAGTGAAAGCTCTCAACCGTCTCCGGCAGCTCAACTATATTTGGAGCGTTTTCAAAACTGAAAACGAGTGAAAGTCCCTCCCACACAGGGCAAAGGCATTGCAGCTATGAGAGACTGTGAGAGTCAAATAACACTCCAACTAACACTGCAGCTTTTAGATTCAGGTAAAAAGAAAAYATAGAAAAAAAAGGTCCTCTACTTGTGGTACAATGCAAAAAGCCTGAAGGGTTTGCATTAAACGATTGCACCTGAGCGTGTGAGCTTTTTACCAAAGTGTGAACACAGACCATCCGACACGCACAGAGAGCAAACCTCAAACACGAGAAATGTTTCAATTGTAGCTATAAAACTGCCAGATTGTAAAATTCTTTGTAATGTGGCACCAAATCTGACGGAACAAAATACATTGTGAAATTCACAGCTCACTTGAAGCAATCAACACATAGTGGTGCTGAAACAAATATGACACTGGTGTTTTCAACACTTAGACGGGGAGACGGTTCTGACTGGATGTCCAATCAGTTCAATAAAAACTCTACAGGCAGTTCTCAATGTTGCTATCAGACCTTTGACTGAGTCTTTGAGGTAGGATCTCGCTGAGCTTTCATTGTGGGAGACAGGTTGGTGATTCAAAACTGTGAGAAAAAAAGGCAATATCTCTGCTGCAGAYTGTTTGGAACCAAATGAGCATTTTGCGGTCACATTTTTAATGGTTCGTTTTTGGCTTGTATTTGTTCACAGCTTGCAAAAATATAATCTTGATAATGCACACCGTTTTGTTGTCCCCCTCTGACCCTATTGTACCAACCTCCACAACCTCTGCTGGAGTACACTTAAAATGAAGCTAGGCACATTTGGACCAGTTTTTCAATATTTATTATTTACTGTCTGTGTGGGTTTTTTTTTTGGTCCTGGAAATTTGCCTCAAAATGTTTCCTGTCAGAAGAGAGCTCCTGTGCAGGTGTTAAAATCCCACCCTGTAGGTCTGGAAACAGGTCCGAGATGCTCACGACAAAATTCAGGAGGTTTCAAGACAAGTCTGAAAATCCCACTTTGGCTCTGTGACTTGGTTCTTGCACAAATGTTGGAGCATTTTGTAACAGGACTGTGCATCCCTATGACTCCTGAAATACAGTAAGGAGTGAGATTAGATTTTAGTCTAAAAATCAAAATTCATGCATCATGTACCTTTCTGACCAAATTAAATTAAGACACGAGCTAAAACTGGCCTATGAAAAATGCCTTGTTGTTTTCCCAAACAAGTCATTTAGGTTTTAAGCCAAACAAAATGGTACCACCAGAATATAAAAAAACTACATGAAGGCACTTTTGCATATTCAGCCCCACTTCAAAAATAATTTAAGGAGTAGGTTTTACAGGACCACATGAGCAATATTAGAAATGTATTAAACGTTTATAGTTTCTAGTGTTGGCTCTTTTCCTCTTTTGGAACTTGTTCTGTAGATGGAGACCATGGAAATCTGTTCCCGCCCTCGCAGGTGTTTCCTCTTCCTTTGCTTGATTAGATCTCTTCACAGGGTTGATTGACATGTCTGATTATTTTTTTCTTCTTCTTCACAGAAAAAAATGGAAAAAGAGTGTCTCATACGATCATCACTTGAACATTATTGTCCTGATTTAGTGTCCTGTGAAAAATGTTCTGCATTATTATTAAGCAGTAATGAGTTAAGCAGCCCAATAATTTGAGCCGTCTGGTAAAATTATAGAGTGCGAGCTTTTTGTAAATCCGAGCGTGAATAACAAAGCCTCTTTGATTCCTTCGATATACCTCACTGTGTGCATTCCCTTTCCTATATGGTTTTAAATATGGRACTCATAGGTGGCAGAGATCTTATTTGAAAAAGGCAAAACAGGAACTATGGTGGAGAGATTTCACTGAATACATTAAAAAACACATCAAAAGTGCCTCTAAGAAAGATTGTGTAGGGTGATAGAGTGACTGTACATCCAAAACTGAATAATTTTTGACGTCAGAATGTCTACCAACCAATGGTGGGCAGCACTAATCCAAAAATTAGCTCCGCAATTTCTGAAGCACTTTTGAAAATATTTAGGTCAGCAACTTCAAATGCGCTTATGTTGTAGAAATATTAGCAAAAGCTAACTATAAAGCACAAGTTCAATTTGACACTTATTAGCTTCACAGCGCTGCCATGTAGCTGTGTATGAACCATTTAACAGCTTAATTCTCCAACTGCCAATTGCTGGRGATGTGAGTTCCTGAAACACACCTTTGGCTCCTGGTGTAAAAATTAAAAAGTGCTTGCTAGTTCGGCTGCTTCTTTGTCTTTTTCTTTTGTTTGCTGTAGATTTTTCATTAAAGAAGCATCAATAAAGTAATTTAAAACTGTTTATTGGAAAACTGAAGCTATGCATTCTGGGTTCATGATGGATTTGATTTGTGACGGGAAAGCATGGAGAACTGGAAACTATCTTACCTTCAAAATAAGAGCTTGAATTGTAAAGTTTTCCATGTAGTTGCACCAGTTGACCACTAGATGTCAGTCTTTGTCAGCATAAGTCTTTAACCCCGCTTCAACCAATTACGTCAAGTATTGAGCTCCAGCATTTAAACTTTATTTTTTTAAAAAGGGAGCTCCGATTGTAAAGTAAAATAAATCAATACATACAAAATTTTAGTATGGATTACAAATGTTTACTGTTTTTGCTATTGCCTTCCTGCTACATAAGCAGACACAAAGCATTGTGGGAAAACAGAACCCTGACTGAAAGCAACAGTCAGTAAGGATGTACTGTATATCTTTCCAATAAGCGTGTTTATCTGGGAAGGAAGCTGTTGGATAGATCACGTGTTGTGATTCATTGACAGCCATACCTTCCACTGTTCAAGATAATAATGGCTGTAGATAATTATATATTAGCAGTACTGCATTTTAATTTTAGAAAGCGCAAAAACACTTACAAAATATAAAAATTAGGAAGACCGCTTAAGCTCAAACAAAATATTTAGGTATGTAATTAGCAGGTTTGTGCCTTAGCGGGCTGGTGCCCACCACTGCTGCCAACATAATCAGCTGACCACAGCAAACAACTCTGCCAGCTTCATTGATACTGCACTATATATTGGAGAGTGGGTCATATATTTCAAGAAATTCTCAATCTTTTTTACACAACTTCCTTATGATSTTATCCTTAACGTTCGATGATTGAAAAAAAAATCTACCTAAGAAATATATGTTTCCATGTTCCACCGTGTGAATTTTCGCCTGGTGTTCCAGTTCCTTTCGTTCTGTATGTTCACAGTGAAGTGGGACACTCTTTAGTCGCCAAACCACCTCATGTTCACACCTCCAAAATTAAATGTGTGAAATGTTGATTTCATTCTTGCAGAGCTGCACAGCATTGCACATTTTAACATACAAAACCCGAACTGGGTGAGTGTTGTTTATTGTGAGAGTGGGGACAGATGAACCCCCCCCAGGTATTTATAAGCCTGTATGTCGTCTTCTATAAAAAGTATATAGCTTCTTCTTTAGGTTATATGGATCAAACAGTGATWTAATGCAACAGAACAGAAACAGCATTTAGTCTTTTTGATGTGGCAGTTTAAGTTTGGCTGCAGGACTGGAGTGTATGAATTATTTTGAGCTTCTACACAGAAACACTGCACCTTCCCACGCATTTACTTAAAAAAACTGCGTGCAAACCTTCCACCATCCCACACTTTGTTCAGATTTAAGTTTAATGTAGGTTTTCATGTTCTGCAGGACATATTCAATAAATATTTTATTGTAAACAATGAATTAWGACACTTTACAGCTACACTTCAATTAATCAGTGTCACAGCTGCACATCTAAAAAAAGCATCAATCATAACTTGATGCCACCAATTTTTTTTCCCATATTCACAACCTTCTTATTAAGAATGCCAATATTTACAAACTGGTTGATGAATCTTAATTCATTTTGGCAAAATGATTGAAAAAAAATCCAGTAAGYTTTTGCAGACTTCACAGTATCCTCAGTTTAAAAGTATTATAAAAAGTTGGACTTTTCATATTCGAACAAGTACTTTAATATTTTTTTATGGATTTTAGGATTTTTAGAGATTTTAGCATGAAATGTTCAACTTAGATTGTGGTGACACCAACATTTAAGGCTGTCTAAATGTTATTAGGCTTTACTAATAGCTTCAGAGGAACCAGTAAACCATTTTTATTTTAAAATTTGAATTATAACCAAGCAAATCTGAAATAAACAAAATAAAAACCAGGTTTTATTTAAAACTCTGACTTTTAACCTCTAGTTTAAAGCTTATATATGACAAAACACTTACTCARCCTTAAACAAGATCACAGAGCGGAAGGTTTATTAAGCAGGAATCTTAACTAAAAAAGGCCTAATTTGTCTTACCTTCCAGTGATGAGGAGGAAGAGAGTGAGGATGACGAGAAGAGTAAAGCCGCCGACCGCTGCTGTGACGATGACCAACACATGGCCTTGGTCAGAAGCAATGTCTGAAGCTGAAAGTTGGGGGTGGGTTGGGGGGATGGATGATGGTGGGAAATAAATTAAGTTGACATGGAGGGGATTAAGAGTAAAACAAATGGGAAGAAAAGAATTGAGGGAAACAGGGGAAAAAATAAGAACGGGAGAAAGAAGGGGAACATAAAGATAGATTAGATAAGATTAGAAACATAAAGAAACGGTAAGGAAGATGAGTTGCAGAATGACAGATTTTATTTCTAAACTTCACATCATCTGGAATAACCCATCCAATCAATGCGTGACTCAAACTGTTTAAGTTCTTCTGATGGGCAGATATTATTGAGAGATGTTTGATCAGCTCTTTGTAGTGCAAAAAAAAAAAAACCCGTCAGCTTCTGCGCTGGAATGATTCATATGCCTGCTGCAGTTTAATTAATTTTATTCATTCATGAAATTGTGATTTAGTCCATGATCATTTGGTGAAACTGAGCCCATTTGATATTCATGATTTTTCCTTTTCTGTGTCTTGTCACAAGGCTAACGAATCCCAGATAATTGAAAGATGATTGCTATTACTAAACTTATTTCTATTATATTTCATGCTTAATGAATATGAATTAGAGATCATGGTGCGTGGTGGCGAGCCCAGTGAATAAGGCTTTTGTGTGTGTGTGTGTGTGTGTGCGCGTGTAACGGTGAAGCTGATATGCGGCATGTGGAAATGGGACGTTGAGAATAAGTGTGTCTTTTACCTAATAAAAATAATTACACACCACTCAGGGGGCAGGGAGAGTGAAAKTGACAGTTGTCAGATGACACATGACTGTTTTTTTTTTTACATTTTTTTAGTTTAACACACTTTTCACGTCTAAACAGATGTGTCGGAGTGACACTGCCAAAATAAGGTCTGTGTGTGTGTCGAGAGAGGCGTCGGACGAGGAAACAGATGACAAGCGTGAGGCAAAGACAAAAGAGGAAAAARAGACCCAGGCAGGAGTGACAGAGACATAGGCGGCTGGAGAAAACGAGCGCGCCGACAGTGAGTGACGGGCGGACTGACAGAGAAGGAGAGAGCGGCGGGGRCCAAATCTGGCTTCTCTTTCAGATAAAAGTCCGGGCAGTACAAAGGCCCGGCCAAGCCGCCTCTGATCTGCAGATAAAGCCGAGCTCTGCAGCTTTGGAAGGGAGAGGGCCGCTGTGAAGCCAAATCACCTCTCAATAATAATACCTGACCCGACATAAAAGGGCAGCTGGACCTTTGTATTTTATGAGTACACAATAAAGCGACTGCTAACAGGGGAGAAAGAAAAAAAAACATAAAAAGAAAACATTGATTCAAAACGCACCAAACAGCGAAGGATCAGATTTCCTCAGTGAATTTTACAACTGCAGCTGCAACTGATATGGAGGTTAAGAGAAACCAAATTCATCCTGCAGCGATGCCTGATGTTCTGGAAGGAGCTTCAGCTGTTTCCAACAACATTAATAAAACAAAAGTACGTATGTTATTTAAAAAAATCAGCTATTCCTCAAATTAGGGCTGCACGATATCAGGAACACCTGCGATGTGTGATAAAAGCGCTTAATATTGCGACGACGATACGACTTCCAGTAAATAAAGAAATACTCTGCAGTGCTGATATCTTTCATTTTCTCAGTTTAGATAAAAGAACAACTACATCATTTCCATTTCAACATGACAGTTTTTTAAGTGCAACTAGGCACAGTTTCTGTTAGAAGTGAAACAACAAACTGCATGTATTACAGTTTGTTAATGACTTTAAAACAGCAATGGTTTAATTRTTTAAAAACTGATACCAAAAGGGTGTTTTTTGTATTGAGATYCTCAGAGTTGAATGAAAGTAAGTTTGATGAAAATAAGTAAAAGCATTTCAAAGTCCAGTTACAAATTCTCTCATTGCGTTTTCTCCACCAAGTGGTTATAATTTAATGGTATCTCAGGTTCATTTGACAAAATGCAGAAATGCCAACGTTTGAGCCAAACCATTTACTRCAGTTTACCAGTTTTAGGTGGCAGGCTGTTTACGCAATGATGATAAATTTGCAATAGTTTGTGCAGCACTACCTTGACGCCTGTGCACGYCATCCTCACCAAACTGCCCGTCGGTAGATTTGTTTTCATTTCCACTCWGGTTTATAATGATWTGGTTTGGTGAGYGGGGATGGATAAAGAAACCACATATGATGTTTGAAATCACAGGTTAATTTTAAACATCTAATGAAACATTATAGAAACGGAGTGATATGAATTTAAATGGTTTAAAATAAACCAACTCACAAGGAGCTGTTTTCATCTTAGTTCCCAATTTAGTGCAAAGAGTTTCAGAAACAGCATAAAAGCAGAAAAAAGGTTCAAACATTTATTTGCTRAAAGGCTGCAGTGTGTTAATTCAACAAAAGACAAGCTGAGGGATTTTATTACTGAATGTTTTTAGTTTTTGAGATGAGTGSTTTTCTGGACTGGAAATGTGGATTTTTTTGTATTTGTAGGTGTAAGAATACRAGTTACACTGTGTATAAAAACTATATTTTTCTGCTTGTCTGAGTCAGCGCAGAGTGGCGGATCCTGAGGAGCAATTTTATCCACCAGCAGGAGCAACGACGGAGCCAAGGGGTCAACTCAAGGGTCTTATTAGCTGGTAAGAGGCATATTCAGATATAAACTACTACACTGAATAGCTTCACTTTGCTATGACCCGACACTTTTTGCCTTGCTGCTTATTTTTCCATGACTCCTGCCGTAGAAGTTTGTGTTGATGGTTTCGCTGTTGCCATCATCATCAAGGCTTTTTATGAGCTGATGTGCCCTTGATGCAGGCTGCCCTGGGTGCTCCTCGAGGCTAAAGGAACTGCATTTGACCCCGAGTCGCTGCTTGAAGCAAGCCTCTCAAATCTCTGACTTACTTGGGGGAAAAAAGCAAAACTCTTTGAAGCTCATGTGCAAGTGAAACTAAAACCTTATCAGTGTAAACAACAAAACGAAAACTATGAACTTTAGCAACTCTTGTACATTTTTAAATACAAATTAGCAGCAATAAAAACTAAAGCAGCTGTAGTTGAGTACTTACAGTCTCCTGTAGTTTGGTACTCATATTTTGGTGAGTAGGAGCTGTATCCACCCGCTGTGCGTGTGCGCACGCTGAACACGTACCAGGTGGCGGGCTTTAATCCCGACACGATCACGCTGGGGGCTTTGGTGCGTGTCGACGAGTAGCTCAGCTGCTCGTGATCCTGCGGGAGGAACTGGAGTCGAAACCAAAACCGTTTTTTAGAAATTCAAACAAAAACAAACTCAAAACCAAAAAAAGGGCAGAGACCTTCCTGATGGCGACGTTTCATCTAAACAAAATYAAATCTTTTACAAACTAAATTCACCTTCAAAGTGCTGGCAAACAATTCAGTTAATTCAGTTAAATCAGTGTCACATCCACTGCTGCACTCGGGCAGATGTTGATTGCGCGAGCGGTGACGAGAACTGCCTCCTGGCTACGTTCTATAGTGATCACTTTGGGAACACAAACGACGGAAAATGGATAATTTTATCACCGTTTTAACACAGACACATGACCAGATGTTCTGGGTAAAAACTTGTTGCTGTAAAACGCAGAATAAAAAACAACCTGGTTTCAAAATAAACGTAAAGTTGAAGATGAGACACTTAATTAAAATCCCTAAGCAATGTGTTTTATTTTTTGTTTTTTATGAATTCACAGTTTGAACACATTCTACTTCCAGTACCTGAAAGCACAAAAGCTTTGTTGTGAGCTAAAAGGCTTATTTATCCCTCCAGCAAATGGYTCTAATTTCTTTATTCACCCATTTTAAAAGAATGTTTACGTCAATGACCTGTGAGGGATATGTTAGGTTTTTACATCTTATTTACGAACATTTCGTCACAGTTGGGATGTTTCGGTGMAAACCGTCAAATTTTGCGTTATTTTGTCCCTGGAGCAGCTATTGTTTGCCCTTATATTTTTGTCGCCAGCTAAAACTATACAAAAAAAGCTTGATTTATTATTTTCACTTAAATTACTGAAGCATTTTATCTTCAGCATTTTTCTGGAAGTAGTTGCACTTGTTTTTATGATTTATTAATGACACTATCAACCGTAATCATAAAAAGTACAACAGAATTATCTAAAAAATGGACATCAAATGTATAATTTACCTTCTCAGAATATTTGACCTCATATTCCAGGACAGGAAGTGTTGTTTCTTCAGGCTGCTGCCAGGAGAGAGCAATGCTGGCCGGAGAAGCCCAGTCCTTCTTTAAAGCCCCCACCAGAGACGGACCTGTTCAGGAAAACAGACAGTTTCTCGCACGATGTCCGTTTTGACAAAAAAGCRATGAAAACATCAACGGTTCATCATCGGAGGTGATGGCAGAAAGCATCAGAGACGTGTGAGAGTGAAACCAGAGCATATCAGCAGTAAAAAAAAAATTTATGAACAGATTAATGAAAGCGCCGCTCCACTTACATAAACTTTTCTGACAGCCTCGGCTGAGAAACGTTTGAAATRAAAAGAACTACAAAGCAAGCATTTTGGCATTTTTGGAGCATGCATGTAAAGAAAGATGTGATCAATCACAAAGACGAWGAGCCTGATTACTGCTTAACAGGAACAAATTCACATTATTAGTGCAAATGAATCTCAAGGTTTTATTTACCTTTTAAATCYGAAAAAACTCTGTATATTTCAAAACAGGTTTTTCGTGCGTGAGTAAAACACCCAGTGCTGGAATGTATTTAAGTACATTTTTCTGTATCTGTACTTAAGTAGATTTAATCATGGATACTTTCGAATTTTACTCCACTCCATTTTACATTAAGTATCTGTACTGTCTACTCCGCTACATTTCTGTAATTCATTGCACTACAAGTTACATTCAAGTCATGTCACTTTATGTTTTTTTGATTCGTTTTTTAGTTTTAAAGTAATCAATAATGAGAGGGGAATTGCTGTAATTGGTCCACTGAACCACTGCAGAGCAGGAAAATACCATCAGACCCTCCTTTAAAAAGAACGGGGCTATTCTGCATCACCTACTGGAGCATCAGCAGCACTTGCACACCCAAAATGGATTCCACCACGGAKCGTCAGCCAGAGGAAAAGCACCACCCATGAACTTGTTTAAAAAATGTATTCAAGTTAACCGGTTCCAAAAACAACTCATGGAGATTTAATAGAGGATGTTGGAGGCAAATTTAAAGCTTCTGTAGCTGTTGTCACAATCGCCGATGATGCACAGTGTCACAAGTCCAAGTGTGAACAGTGTCATAGAGGATAAACACAAAAACATGACGTATCGGCAACATTGTTCACTAAAATGTCACACCATTGATGTAATAAAAAATATTCATACAGTAGCCACACTTCATGATATTGTAGACCATTAGGTGATACATTAACTTTTAACGCGTTAAGTACTTTTAAAGACAAGGACTTCCTTACTTTTACTCAAGTAAAAATGTTAAYGTGGYACTTTTACTAGAATATATWTTTGTCTGTTTATCTGTACTTTTAAGTACAGTGTTTGAGTACTTTCTCCACMACTGGAAACACACTTGATTGCATTTTTCTCCCCCATGAGATTATCTCGTTTTAAGTAAATTAAGTTCAACAAGCTCAATGTTCTTTTTCTTGAACGAAACCGCACTAGCTTTGCTCTGTCTTTGTTTTATTTCCTTTATTTTCTGAGTAAATAATTGCATTGAGCTCTCAGGAGAGGCAGGTCAGCAGATGAAGCTGCCTGAGAGTCATTACTGTGTTTTCTATCATCTAATATAATAGATTTGACTCATTATATTGATACAAATACAGACCTGCTTTCCTCGTGTGTGCTGAAGGAGAAATATAACACTCCATCTGTTTTCTTTTTTCCCCCAACACTTATTTCTAGAGGCTGAGTGTTTCAGGTTCAGGAGGAAGTTCAAGGATCTAGTGTGTAGATTTAGAGTTTGGGGTGTTATTTGAGAAGAGACTGATGAGGTCGGTTATTAGATAAGAACTAGAGTTGAGGGTTGGTTTCAAAGTGGCCAGATGCTAAAATCCACATAAGAAGTTAAATTTGAACATATATGTATCTTAAACATCAGATTTGGCAATACGCATTCCATCAAGGAGTGTTGGGCCTTTAAATAAAATTCATATATTTATGAATCACCTTTTATTTTTTTGCTCATGCATGACTTTAAGGCTACATTCAAACTGTCATGTGAGAAATCAATTATTTAGGCTTTTGCTTGAAGTGTGAATGCTCTAATTTTGGGAAAAAAAAACTAAAAATTAAAAGAGGAGTGGCCCTCGATGTCATTCATTTAGGATGTAGGCAAATTCAAATAACTAAAAATCGTATTGCAATTATAAAATAAATATGTCATACAATAAGTGAGAAAGATTAAATTTGACTTTAAGGGACCTATAAATTACGGCTGAACGTTATCATCTTGACTCAGTCACAGCTGAAGTGTTAGCAAAACACTAAAATGTGTGATCGGTTCAACTGCTAAAGAATTTCAAGTGATTTTTAATCGAGTGAGGACTCGACGACGGATGAAATGTGAACAGAGAAATATTGGGGGTGTAAGCGCACAATGGAGCCGCAGTCACTTTTATATTCAATGTGTTTTAATGCTTGGCTTCTCCTTAATAACTCCCACCCTAATAGGCATTTAAAATTTGGTAGGTAGCCTGAAATGCAACCAAAACCTCAACAACATAATGTCATGCGTGACTTGAAACAGCTTATAATATTAGCATAATCATCAAGCTCAAAGGGCAAGGTGTGTGTGTGTGTGTGTTTAATCCTGCATACATATGAGTGTATACATACATACATACATACATACACACATATATACACATACACATACATACATACATACATACATACATACATACA